CGCACGCTCACCCCAACAGGCTCTTCATGCCCTGAAGCCACCGAGAAGCTCACCCCAACAGGCTCTTCATGCCCTGAAGCCACCGAGAAGTAGTCCCAGCCGAGCACGGCCCCGCACGCTCACCCCAACAGGCTCTTCATGCCCTGAAGCCACCGAGAAGCTCACCCCAACAGGCTCTTCATGCCCTGAAGCCACTGAGAAGCTCACCCCAACAGGCTCTTCATGCCCTGAAGCCACCGAGAAGCTCACCCCAACAGGCTCTTCATGCCCTGAAGCCACCGAGAAGTCGTCAGGGCAGAGCCGAGGCCACGCAGCGCTGCCTGGTTTCTGACTCTTTTTGTATCGTGTCATTTCTACCTGAAATATTTTCCAGGCCTCTGCTCGTTCCTTGTGTCCCATCCTACACATTTCTATACCGAATAAACAACCATCATTTTTCTGCTGCAGAAAAAGCTCCATTTCTGTGGAGTAAACCTCTACTTTAGAGCTTGAAGAATCACTGTGCAGGTGACATTTCTGTTGACTAAAGCCACATGAGTTGTAGAGAAGTGGTGGAGGATTCTTACCTTCCCAGAGGTTTGGGGTGCTCTCTTTCCCCACTGTTTTCTACACCACCAGACTGCCAAACCCTGCACAGAGAATTAGATTCCCTACTGAAAAACTTCCCTGTCAACCAAATGGTCATTTACAAATGAATGGGTCAACACCAGACTGATGGGCACCTGCCCTGATAAAATCTTTCAAAAGCTGAGGCACAACAAAACCCAAATGATGTTTTAAGTGGTTTAAATTTTCCTTACGAACCCAATTCTTCGTGCTTTTTAATTTTGAGGAAGTGACTTGCAGAGCTGGGGGTAGAAATGTTAATGGATCCTTTCCTTGCTAGAGGAGTGAAAGAAAATAACCACAATTGTAAAGAATAATTGTCGGTAGTTTATTTACAACAAAATGCGAGGAAAAAATACAATATTAAAAATAATAAATAACTTGGAAAAATCAGAAACTAAGTGATATGAAGGAGAGATATGACAATCAAATTCTCCTGCTGAGCCTTGCATTATTTAACATGCAGAGCATTTCCAAACTTGGTCCTTCTTTGATGGCAGTGATGTATTGCCTAATGTAGCCATCGTTGCTCTAAATAACAGAAATGAATTACTGGACATTCAGTCATGTGGAATTACCACAGAAATGAAATAAAACAATGAAACCTGTTTCAGTGACACCACAAAACTACAGGAGATTCTAATGCCATGACCATGCTGTTCATTTAAAGCAAAAAACCTTGTTAGACTCGTTTAGCAATTTTAACTTACACATAGAAAAACCAAGTTCAAACAATGGAAACAGAAAAAGTTCCTATTGACAAATCAGGAATTCTCTCTCACTGCAGTCACTAAGTCAGAAGAAGCATATACAGTTGCCTTATTTCAAATGCTAGCATGTTGGTTTGGAGTTCTAGTGCAGCAAGCTTCCAAGCAGTTTTAACAAAATGTCGCGGTCTTGTTACAAACTAAAATTCAAGGAACAAATATTTTCATTTCAAAATCTCTACAGCAGCAATTAATGCAAACTGGCTACTAGATGTCACAAAATCACCTTCCAGAATAATAATAATAATAATAAAAAAATCCAAAGAATAAGGTCAAATAGTTTCTTTCCATAGGATTTATCCAGTAATTTACAAAATTAAGCATTACATTCATCAGAAATGCCATTAAGTATGTGTTTCAGGAATGTGCTGCTCCTCATAGTCCTTCTGGATACCTCCCTTGTTTAATTTATTAGGAGATCTACCCTTCTACAGTGAATTGCCAGTTATTTTGTAATGATTGTTCTAGAGGAAATACAGAAAAGCACGAGCAAAGCTGGGAGGAGGTTTTAATAGAAACCCAAACAAACTAATCACGTTATTTGCTCTGAATGTTTTCTCCTTGATGAAAAATTCCTTGTCAAGTCCTAGCAGAGCTGCATCCCGTAATGCTTCAGCCGCAGGAACGCAGCTATTGTGCCTATTCAGCTTTGCCATGTGGCACTGTACTCTAAAGATGTACTCGCTAAATAATCACATCATTTATTTTTGCAAAAGAAGTGATCAACACCTGCAAAACGCTCTCTTGTTTTTCTCCCAATAAATATGTTTGAAAATAGAACAGAAAGTACTGTGGAAAAATCAGTCATGAAAACAACCCCTTTGCCTCAAGATGTTCCACTGCAGTACTGAGACCTTCCTTTTCATTTCATTTTCTGTGGTTTTGTGTGTTTGCTGGGAATACTCTAGAAAAAGTTATCCTACCTTAAAAAAAACCCCAAAACCCAACCAACTAAACCCCAACCAAACAGAAAAAGATATTTAAAGATCATATTGACCAAGTGACTGGTGGGGAAAGCAAAGCAGAAGGCAGCAGAGGGTCCTTACACAGGCAACGAAAAGCCTGGGGTATTTTTTATCTGAAGCAAGGAAACATTACAGATCTTTTTATTTGTCTCCATTAGGAAGCAACATGGAGACAGCGTGGCTGATGGTGATCCTTGTTGTGGCCAACAGTGAATTCAGGCTGTTTGGTCAATAAATCTGGTACTTCTTGAGAACAGCACGGCTCAGCCACAGGCTACGGCAGCAGCACACGCAGACGGAGACGCAGCATTAAGCATCTGTCATTTTTTTCCATGATATGATCAGTGTCTTTCTCCTACGTCTCTGTCATGCAGCTATTAAGATGTGTCCTATTCAGGTATGTTAATAATTTTCATCCATGCCTTATCCCCAAACCTACTAAATCTGATAATCAATGTCTCCACGTGGGATTGGAAATCAATCAGTTAAATATGAGTAAAGGTACGACTGCTTTGGTCTAATAATCTATGTCAAACCCAGATGGCAAAACATATATAGGAACAGTAATATATAAGCACAAGGGCATTATGACTAGAGCTGAGCAAATTTTTCTATGACAAAGAAAAACTTTGTTGAAAAATAGATTTTCAGGTGGAGCAGCCCTAAAACATCGCTATATAGGTCACATTCAGGAAATGAAAAAAATCAACCAAAAAAATGCTTTATGTCTTCAAAGCTTTCCCTTCTCTGCCAATGTTCCAATTTTGCTACTAAATAAATACTAATAATAAAAAGATTAGACCAGTTATAATCATGAATACTTAATCTGCACACTTGTTAGCTGAAATCATAAACTAAATGTAGGAAAGTTTTGTTTGCATCATTACAGCGGCTTCTTTTCAAACAAAAAAAATTGTCACCCATTTAGTTTACTAATCACACAGAATTACTAGCTCCGAGAAGAAAAGCAAAGCAAAACATGGACAGTAAGTGGGAGAATGCATGAAGTCAGACCACAGCTAACCTACCAAGAGCTCCCAGATTTTGCTATCTACAGGATTTTAACTATCAAACAAATATACACTTGTTTTCAATGCAGGTTGGCAGTAGAATTACCTTTCCTGCTACTAAAACTACCCTATAAATATCACACATTCAAATAACTTCTACTGGATCTACAGCCATTGAGAAGTTCAGTGCATTTTAAGCCAGTCAAATCACAGCATTGTGCTGAGAAGATGGCACGAATGTCCCCAGGTAAAAGGCCATCCCCAAACTGATTGTTCAATATTCAGTGACAGTTCAGCTCTCGAGGACTCTCTCTTTTTTTAAATCCATGTCCCATGTCCCCAGTGCTACAAAACTTCACCCACTTTGATCGTGTGGTCCAGGTAACCACTATCATTCACTGGGAACCAAACAGCGGCTTATTAAACATCAGCTACAGCTGCCAATAGAGACAGGTACCGACAGCTCTCGTTAAACAGAATTTGTATGAAAGAGAAGGAGGTGCCCCAAATGGGGGTCAGTGGGGAAACTCTCTCACTGAGCTTACATTTTGAAAAAGAAGGAAGAGACCAACTTCTGCCATTTATTTTTTTCTCTTCCTTCCACCATCTACACTTCCCTACTGGGAAAACATCCTTTTCTACATTTTAATTCCTGAGATTGAAGAGTGATTTCACACACAGACCAGGAAGAGCACTTCTGTTTCCTTCATGTCACCCTACACGGGACTGAGTCGCCCCACGATTCGTTTGGTTTTTAAAGTGACTGATTTTGTTCACCCCATCCCTAGAGAACAGTAAAACCTGGACCCAGCTTTCTGTTAGCAGAGATTGTGCTGTTCAGGAAAGATGTGAGGCAGGAAAGAAAAAGGAGTCTCATCTTTTTTTTTCCTTTACATTCAAGGTCTTACAGCGTAACTACCACTCTTCTTCCAGTGAGGACAAGACAGAATTCATTGGTTTTGCTTCTCAGCTGGCTCAATTTAGCTGCTTTTTTTCAATCTTACACACAGAACAACATTGAGAAACACCAATATCGACTTAAGAGATCACAAAAGGACAGGGGAGAGCTATTAAAATACATTTTCTACAAGAAATAGGTGGTTTCTTTTACAAATTCTGTGCAAGATAGAAATAGTTCAATGGCCTCAAAGTCAATATAATTAATTACAACTGGGGCTTCAATACAGTGAGATTTTAGGTTTGTGAAGTTTTCTGTTTGTTTGCTTAGGCCCCAAATCCTGAGTCGTATTGAGCAAAACGTGAATCTGAGTGATTGCTGTTGGTGTTCAAGTACAATGAGTCGCAGGTCAAAGGTTTATCAATGCACAGGAGAAGCCTGAGAATAGGAAGGATTTTTAAAATCAGCTATAAAAGAATAAATTGGGAGGGTTTTTATTTCCTGTTAACCCTGCGTTCTAGTTGGCGTTAATTTGCCTCAGAAGTCCTTGGCAGCTTTACTATATACCTACTCCTAATTAGAAACACTCTGACCTAGGTGAGGATTTGTAGGTAGAATACTGCTACAGAGAGATTTCTTTTCTTTTACAGGGTTCCCCTCAGACTATTTCATTGTACGTCAGTAAGATGCACCATATGGCTTGAAACACTACTTTAGGAATATCTAAACTATGTTCTCTTGCATGCACTTCTCTGAAGAATTTAAGGATCGAGTCTGAGGAAAGAAGTAAACTTTCCACGCCAGTAAGATTATTTTAAGAAAAAAAAAAAAAAACCCCAAAAACAAAACAACCAACGAACCACCATGACCTTTGTAGAAATGGAGTTACGTCACTCTTGCTGTGGTAGATAGACATGGCTTATCAGGAGGAAACATGCCGGGTTAATTTAAAGGGTTTTTTTCGCTGGATCTGGAAGAGTGAGAGTTTCTGGAGCAGACTTTTTCCGAGGCCGGTCTTTGGGAACTGTTAGGAATTCAGGAGCATCTGTGGAGAGAGGAGTTGATGGAGCACTAGATGGAGCACTGCGGGTCGAAGAAGGCATGGAAATGTTAGAGATAGATATTGCAGGTGGGAAAATCCCAATCTTCTTGTTGGTGGCTTCCTGAGTTGCTCTTTCAAACTCTCGGACTTCATCCATTGTCATGTCTTCAACAAGAAGGAAAGAAAGAGAATCATTTCAAATGATCATTTCATTAACTCAGTTAAACTATTTCCATCCAAATTCTAAATCAGGGAATGATTGCTTATCATGCATATCATTAAGTGATTCTCCACATGAACGCCTTCCTATTGTAATGCTTTGATTGGAGTACAATAAGCAGTTGACGTAAAGAAAATGAAGTTAAGTACATTAATCACATACTAATCGTTCTTCTTCTACCTGGGTCTGAACTAAACAAAGAGTGCTACCTCTGTACTGCTGGAAAAATCAAGCTATTTCACAGGCAATTAAAGAATACAAGTAAATACACGGTTAGCAAATAGAATTTTTCAGAACTTAAAACAAAATAAAACTAATAGGTTGTTGGTGGTGGTTGTTTGTTTTTTTTTTCCATCTAAATTATAAGCATGAAATGAGTAAAGGTTTCTTTGTCTACTGTAATCATCAGGGATGAAAAATTCTCTCTGCCTTCATGCACAGCTCCTATTGACTCCTAACAAAGCCTAAAGAATTCCCTCTCACTTGATAAAGCCACAATACACTTTCCAACTTCTCCATCCAGAATCTGTACTTAAACATTTATGGCCAACTGACAAATCCACTGCTCAATTCCCTGCAAAACAGAGGCCAAATGAGATGAGATGTTGAAGTCACTTCACAATGGAAAATCCGGTCCACAGAAGCTTTAAAATCTTCTCATGGAGGTGACAAATGTGTCATAGTGTTTGGAAACCCACAAGAGGGCAGAGCGATCCCAGCAGAGATGTGCTCTGAGCTGTGTCATGCAAAACTTTTTCCATCAAATCCCAAACGAATGACATCTGCTACAAACTGGCAAGGTGAGCAAAAAAATCAGCAAGACTCTTCTGAAACCTGCTGCTTCACTCTGCGTTGCCTGCAAGATGTCCACTGAGCCAAATGAAATACCTTTTTTTTAATGGTTTTCAATGAACATCATGTTAAATTTGTAAACCTGAAGTATTTCATCACACCATTTTATAGATCTGAAAACTCAAAAAACCCAGAAATAAAACCACTGTCATTTTAATAAATTTTAAATTCTCACACATTTGGGTGTCTGAGCCATGGGGCTGGCAATGGTGCTTACCACACGTATCACAAAATCCTGTACCTCCAGTACATCGATTCTTTTGAACATTACCCAGCTGCATTTGTAGCCTTGGTTGCAAATGTTATGTAGAAGAATCTTTATGTTGTATTAAATCATCATATTAAATAAACAAAAGCACGCACGTTGCCAGCTGCCTTCTCTCTTCCCTGCAGACGACATTCCAGGGACCTTTCCAGCCTACACTGCTGTGCCAGTTCGTAGGAGTGAGGACTAAGCTATTTTCAAATCTGTGATAAGTGCTGGAAATAAACAGATGGTCTCAGAGGAACTGTACCTACTCGTGTTGGAGAGAGATTTGAACCTGTTTTGCTGATTTACATTTCGTTTCACCCTCTAACAGTGTGTGTTGTGTTTCTGAACTCCAAGGAGTTAAAAACACCCTGACATCAAAGGGAGCCCGGGCATTCATTGCAGCTATTTTTGATTGAGGACTTCTGTACAACATGAAACAAAAGTTGTCTTGGATAAATGAAAGGGAA